CTGCTGCTGCTGCTGCTGCTGCTGCCTCAGGGCAAAGTTTTCGTTCGAAAGGCTCTGCAGCTGCTGCTGCGCCTCTTGCTGCTGCTGCTGCTGCTGCTGCTGCAGCTGCTGCTGCTGCTGCTGCAGCTCGAACACTAGCCGCCGCCCGTACTCTTCAGTCACCTGCGCCACTCAGAAACCCTAAACCCTAAACCCTAAACCATAAACCCTAAACCTTCACCTCGAAATCCCAAACCCTAAACCCTAAACCCTAAACCCTAAACCCTCGTCTCAAAGCTCTAAACCCTCGCCTCAAGGCCCCAAACCTTAAACCCTAGACCGTCGCCTCGAAAGCCAAACCCTAAGCTTAAAGCCTAAACCCTCGCCTCAAAGCCCCAAACCCTAAACCCTAAACCCTAGGGTTTAGACGCTAAAAGGGTCCCACAAACCCTAAAAAGGGGAGCAGCAAAAGGACCTTTTTGACTTCCATTGCAACAGCAGCTTCAATTTCTCTTTTGTGTTTTATTTGCATTTTTCTTTCCCTCAAAAACCACTCTTCTTCCATTCTCCTTTGCATTTCAGTCAGAGACTGCGGCGCAGGCAGCTGCTGCTGCTGCTGCTGCTGCTGCTGCTGCTGCTGCTGCGGCGGGAAGCGCTGCTCGTACTGCTGCTGCGCATACGGGTAGTAGTACTGCTGCTGCTGCTGCTGCGGGAACTGCGGCTGCAGCTGCTGCTGCTGCTGCTGCTGCGGCGGCAGCGTGTACGGGCTTCCGGGGCTCAACTCTCCCCGTCTGTCCAAGTGCCACCCCTGCTGCTGCTGCTGCTGCTGCTGCTGCTGCTGCTGCTGCTGCTCTTTGCTAGGCATTCTGCTGCTGCTGGTCTCCAGACTTTCGCTGTCACTCCAAGAAGAAAAAGAGACTGTCTCTTCATCGCCCACGAGCACGCGGCAGCGAAAGGGGGGTCTGTTGTCTTTGCTGCTGCTGCTGCTGCATGCAGCAGCAGCAGCAGCAGCAGCAGCGCCTCCTGCTGCTACTGCTTCGCTTATCGCAGGCTGCATGTCCAGCACTTTGCCTACGTATTCCCGCCGCTCCTTTTGCTGCTCTCCTGCTGCTGCTGCTGCTGCTGCTGCTGCTGGCTCTTGAGCTGCAGTCTCTTTGCTGCTGCTCGCCATAAGCCGGCCTTCGCTGCTGCTCCTCGCTGCTGTTGCTGCTGCTGCTGCTGCTGCTGCTGCTGGTCGTTCGCCCCTCTTTGGAGGAACTAGTGCTCCTAATACAAAAAGAAAAGCACCACACAAAAAGTGCACATGCTGCTGCCGCTGCTGCTGTTGCTGCTGCTGCTGCTGCTGCTGCTGCTGCTCTGGCTGTGCTGGAGCTGCTTTTTCTACTGCTGCTACAACTACTGTTGCTGCTGCTGCTGCTGCTGCTGCACTGACTGGTTTGCTTCGGAGTTTCTTTGGTGGCTCCACTGTTGTTTCTGAGAGGCCTCTCGAGAAAGGCCTGAGAGAAAAAAAAAGAAAAAGAATTAAAATTTGAATTGAAGAAAAGATTAAATTCAAAATGTTTTAGTTACAAGAAATTCGCTGCTGCAGCTGCAACAAATAAATGTTCCCTTAAGCTGCGCACCTCTTCTTCCTCCTTGTATAAACCCCTGCCAAGCCTTTTATCTCTTGCTGCTGCTGCTGCTGCTGCTGCTGCTGCTGCTGCTGCTGCTGCTGCAGATGATTTTGACTCCGTGGGTTTTTGAGGGTAAGTCAGCAAAGGATAGGTGTCTGTACACCTGAAGAGGCAGCAGCAAACGCAGCAGTTTTGAGAAGTTTTATTTCTGAAAAGAAAAATGGAAAAAAGAAAAAGAGCAAAACGCGCAGTTGCTGAGGTGTACGTACACCTGAGGCTTCGGCAGCTCCTTCGGGTCGTAGAGGAAGTCCACATCTTTTTTGAGAACTAAAAGCAAAAGAAAACAGAAATTAAATTCATATTCTTTTATTTATTTATTATTTCTTTATTTTCTGCCACTTTAACTGAAATGGGAGAAAACGAATCTTCAATTTGCAAATCCGAAGCGCGAATTTCAGGTGTACGTACACCTCACCTTGAAGCGCTCTCGCGAACCGGTCCAGACTGTCTTCTTCTTTTGAAACTGCCATTTTGAATGACTAATTTAATAAATAAATGAATTAATTGCAATTAAAATTCAATAAATAAATGATTTGAAGATTCAAATTGCAAAAACTTCGAAGCCGAGCCGCGCGCCGCCGGAGCTGGGGTGTACGTACACCCCATTCACCTGCAGCTCCTTCGGGCGAAAACTTTGGAGTTTCGTTTTTGAATTATTTTTATTTTATTTTTATTTATTTTTATTTATTTCTTTTGCCGTTTTGAAGCTCCAGAGGGCTGCATGCAGCAGAGGCAAAGAAGGCGCAGAAAGTGGACAAGAAAGTCTTCAAAAATTGCTTTTTTTTCAAAAATAAAACTTTTGAAACTCAAATTTAAAATGCAAAATAATAAAAGTGAGGCTTCGGCGGCTGCGGCGCGGGCAGCGAGGTGTCTGTACACCTGAAGGCCGGCTCACTTCCGCTCTTTTGCCTCCGCAGAAGAGAAAAGGAGTTTTGCTGTTTTCGGGTCTCTCGAGCTGCTGCTGCTGCTGCAGCAGCAGCAGCAGCAGCAGCTGCTGCTGCTGCTGCTGCTCGTGGGAGCTCCGCCGCGCTTTGGGACTTTTTTGAAAGCTTTGAATGCCCTTTGATAAGCCCTTTTGCTAATTTGAAGGGTTTATTCCTTTTCTTTGATTCCGCAAAGAAGTTGGCCTAAACCGCTTCACTCGAGCCGCTGTGTCCCCGCTGCTGCTGCTGCTGCTGCTGCTGCTGCTGCTGCTGCTGCTGCAACACAGGGGAGCTTTGGAGGGTCGTCCGCGCCAAAGTCCCTTTTAAAGCCTCCTTTGTCTTCCCTTTTGCAGTTTAAATTCAAAATCAAAGAAGATCCTGCTGAGGCTCGGCGGCGCGACCGCTGCTGCTGCTGCTGCTGCTGCTGCTGCTGCTGCGGCCAGCGAAGCAGCGGCGGGGGCGGAAAGGGGAAAAGGGGTTCAGATCTTTTGAATTTGCTTTTGTTGAAGAGTAAACTTTCGTAAAAAACAAAAAATAAAAGAATTAATTCTTTTTTGCTGCTGGTTTCCCCGCTTTCCGCGCCCTCCAGCAACTTGAACTGCTGCAGCAGCTGCAGCCGAACCGACAGGGCCTCACCGGTGGTTTGGGGCCCTGGAGTCCAGCAAGAAAGAAAGCAAACTTGTTTTAAAGTTGCATTTGAATTTAAATTTTATTTTTAGATTTGATTTTAGCGATTTAATCCCGCCGGATCAAGGGTCTGGGGTGTACGGACAGCTGACCGCGCGCGCAGTCGCTCTCCAGATTTTCTCTGCTGCATCTCTTCGCCTCTTCTTCTCCGAAGACTCTTAAACGAACAAGCAAACTTAAAAAGTAAAATAAAAGAACTGCAATTAATTCTTTATTCTGTTTTCACTCCGAGTGTCTTAACTGCGGAACCTGAACGAGTGGTTCTGCACAGCCGCGAGGTGTACAGACACCCCGGCCGACGGGAAGCCGCGGCGATGCAGAACTGCAGAAAATGCAGCTCTGAAGCTGCAAAAAGAAAATTAAATTTAAATTATAAATAATAAATTAAAAAAGGGATATTTTGGCTTTTGAAGCGAAGCTGAACGAACTCGCGGCGGCCATTTTTGGTCGTTTTGCTCCTGTAGCTCCAGTCAAACTCAGCCATAAAAAGCCGCTTTACGTTTTATTTGTTTCTTTTGAGAGCTGCTTCTTCTTTTATTTATTTAATTTTGCAATTTTCTACTCAAGTTTTACTTTAAAACTCAAAAAAATTATTCTGATGTTAAATTGTAACATTTCTTTTAATGGAAACGATGAAATACAAGTTGCGAAAACAATAAATAAATGCAGCTCTGAAAACGCAAAAGGTCCCTGAGGCGTTTTCTTTTATTTTTTTGTTTTTTATTTTTATTTGTTTTTATTATTTTCAAAAATAAATAAAACGAACAAAAAGGAGAACAGCAACAAAGAGCTTCATGGTCTCCCTTTTATTTATTTCGGATTCTCTTCAAAACATTTTTCACTTATTTCATTTAAATATTTGGATTAAATTAAATCAATTTAATGCAATCAAAATGACTGTTTAGAAAACAAAAAAGATTTAAATTGTTTTTTCTTTTATTCCAACTTTTCTTTTTTTGCAACTTCTGCGGCAAAACAAAGTGAATAAAAATTAATTCTTTGATTATCCTTTTCCAAAACAAAAGTGCTGCTGCTCCAGCTAGCCACAGCAGCAGCAGCCAGCAGCAGCTAGCTGCCCAGCGAGCCACAGCTAGCCACAGCTAGCCACAGCTAGCCACAGCTAGCCACAGCTAGCCACAGCTAGCCACAGCTAGCCACACAGCTGCTAGCTAGCTGCAGCGCCTTCTGGCTAGCTCCGCGTGGCTCCAGCAAGCCAGCAGCAGTAAGCTGCAGCTAGCCACAGCTTGCTGCAGCTAGCCAGGGCTTACCGCAGCTAGCCAAAGCTTGCCGCAGCTAGCCAAAGCTTGCTGCAGCTAGCCAGAGCTTGCTGCAGCTTGCTGCAGCTAGCCAGCGCTCACTGTGGCTAGCTACAGCTAGCCATGGCTTGCTGCTGCTAGCTGTAGCTAGCCAGAGGCTGCTTTGGCAAGCTGCAGCTAGCCACAAGCCGCAGCTAGCTGCAGCTTGCTGTGGCTAGCTGCAGCAGGGCGTGTGCTGCTGCTGCTGCTGCTGCTGCTGCTGCTGCTCCAAAGTGCGCTATTTAGCATCTTTTTTTGAAGTAAAAAAGCCAAAGAAGTGAATTTGGAGATTTGTTGGTTGAATTGGACTGAGTTTGAAATATTTCCAGAAAAGAAAAGAAGAAATTGAAAAGTGATTTGGAGTTGAGGGGCTCAAAGGAAGTCCTGGAAAGCTCAGCAGACACCTCAGTTTGAATACAAATTTGTCTTTTCAAATTTTGCAATTAAAAACTTGTGCGAAAAACGCGGAAAATGAAAAGCCGCGCAGCAGCAGCAGCAAGCTGGCGGCAGTTTTGTTTTGTTTTGCAGCTTTTCTTTCATTTTTTGTCTTCTAAAGGAATTAAATTAAATTAAAATGCTTTAAAACTGAAAAAGCTGAACATTTTTTGCGCAGCAGCACCACTGGGCACCCGCAGCAGGTGTACACCTGCTGCTGCAGCGCCCCACAGGCGTGCAGCGCCGCAGACTGAAGGCAAAGCTGCGGAAAAAAGAAGACTCTGCATTTTAAAAAAGAATAAAAGTATTTATTTGCAATAAATTGAACAGAAGACAAGAGGAAACTGGCTGAAAAGGCCGCGGCGCGCAGCAGTCTTCGTGCGCTGCGTCTGCGGAGGGGGTCTTGAAAAGGAGCGTGCAGCTGGAAACTTCGGCTTTTTTTCGGAATTAAACGGAATTAGAATGCAAATAATAATATTTGTTTTTGGATTTATCTTTTTTTTCGTTAAAATTAACAATTTAAAACCCCGTTTGGCGCCGGCGTGCAGATCGCAGGGCGTGCAAGATCGCACTCTCGGGTTGGTTTCAGTTTCCCGCTGCAGTCCTTCCTCGCTGGCTTTCTCGCGAGTTTTTTCTTTTCTTTTTTGTTTTTATTTCCCTTTTTGTTTTCAATTCCAATTCACTTCTTTCCCGCGTCGAAAATGGAAGGCGTAGAAGTGCAGCCGCACATTCAACTCCGCCGGGTAGGTCGTGTCTGCTTTCCACCGGAAACTTGAATTCCGCGTTTCTTTCCGCTTTTTCGCGGCTTCTTTTGCAAAAACTTTCTTCTTTTGCAAAACAATTTGAAATTAGCGGAATTTAAACGGCGAAAGAGGAATTATCTCCTCAGATTTGCGTTTGTCGCGGCCGCCGAGTTCAAGAAAGGCTTCGCTGCCTCGGGCGCGGTTCCGCGGGAAACCCGGGGAAAGCGGCGCGAGTTGCGGATTTTTTTGCTTCTTTTTGCTTTTTTTCGCTTTTTAATTGTTTTATTTGTTATTTGTGTTCTTTTGTTTGCTTTTTTAGGGCCAGGTGCAGCCGGTGGTGCTGACGATGGGGGATCCGAAGCGGGTGGACGAAGTGGCGGCTCTGTGCGACAGCGCGGAGCCGCTGGCCTTCAACCGCGAGTTCAAATCTGCAAATGTGGTCAAAGACGGACAAAAGTTCACAGTAATATCTCACGGAATTGGTTGTTGCAGTTCGATGATCTGTTTCGAGGAGCTGATCAAGCTGGGCGCGAAGGTGATCATCCGCGCGGGCACCTGCGGCAGCATGAAGCCCGACAGGGTCAAAAGAGGAGATATTTGCGTCCCTTTTGCTGCAGCAAGAGATAATGATGTTTGCGACTTGTACATCCCCCCGAGAATGCCTGCGGTGGCGACTCCGCGGGTGTTCCAGAGCCTCCTGGAAAGTGGAAAGCAGCTCGGAATTGGCCTCTCCCAGGGCATCGCGCTGACCAATGGTCTCTTCTACGGCCACGGCAAAGAACACCTCCAAAACTTGACCACTTGGAGCAAATTTACAGACATAATTGACTGCGAATTCCAATCTCTTTTCCTCGTGGGCATTGGCCGCGGAATCGAAACCGGCGGCATTGCCACGGTCGACGGATCACCCCTTCAGTGGGACCAGGTGACGCCAAATTCCCCCAAATTTAATCCCTTTTAATTGTTTTATTTCTTTTAATTGTTTTTAATTCCTTTTTATTCCCTTTTAGTCCCAAATTGCTTCTTTTTCCCGAAGAAATGCGGGCCAGAGGCGCGGGAAAGCTGCATTGCGTGGGCGCGGAACCCCGAGTTGAACAGACACCCGGCAGCAGCCCTTCTTGGGGGAATTAATTTCTTTTTAAATTGTTAAATTGTTAATTAATTATATAATAATTGATAAATAATCAATTTATAAAACTTCAAGTTTTGTTTTCTCTTGTTCGCAGGCCAATTATGACCCTTCGGGAAACGCCGTTGCGGAAGGCAAGAAGAAGATGCTGACAGTTGCAATTCACACTTGCGCGAAGTTGACGCGGGAGTTCAGCGGCCACTGAGTTTTTTGAAATCAAAAATGAAATGAAAAGAAAGTTTGAAATAAATAAATAAAATAAAAAGAAAGTTTGAAAAAATAAATCAAATTAATTTGGTTTCGCAGTTTGTTCGCAGTCATTCGTCAACAAAGCCAACTTGAACGAATGCAGCTCGTGCCTGTGCCCGCCGCGGCAGGTTCTTCGAGTGAAATGCGCGGAAAGTGCATTTAAATGAATTAAATTGAGAATTAAATTCAATTAAATTCAATTAAATTCAATTAAATTCAAAAAAAGTATTTATTTTCGACGATTTATCTTCGATTAAGTTGAAGATCGCTGAGGCGTGCGCGTGCGCTGCACTGTATGCGCTAAAATGTGTCCAGAAAGCTCTTTTTGCAAACGAGGTTTGAATTCATGTTTTGAAGTTTTTGAACTTCTTTTAAATTTCGAACTTTATTTAAATTCCGGGAAATTAAAATTTGAAATGTTTTCCCTTTTGGCCTCCGTTTTCCGCGTTGAAAGCGAAAAAATCGCCACTTTCAACTTCAAAATGAACAGAAAAGTGTTTTGATTCATCAAATCTTGAAATAAAACTCTGAAATGGTGTTTTAATTCATTCAATAATTGAAGTCTAATTCTTTAGACTGAGTTTCCACAAGTTGAGTGTCTGCGGTTTGCTGCTGCAGCAGAACAAAACTAGGGTTTAGGGTTTGGAGTGCTTGTAGAAAAAGGGTTTGGGGTTTAGGGTTTAGGGTTTGGGGTTTAGGGTTTACGGTTTGATGTTTGGGCGTGAGACGGGGCTTTAGCAAAGGGCTTGCAGGTTTAGTTAAGAGGCAGTGGCGGAGTTTCTTTGGAGTTACTGCAAACAAATATGTCTAGGGTTTAGGGTTTAGGGTTTAGGGTTCGGGCTTTAGGGTTTGGGGTTTGTGCTTTAGGGCTTAGGGTTTGGGCTTTAGGGTTTGTATGCATGCAAACACCTGCATGCTCTCTTGCCCCCCTCATGCGATCTATGGAGGCAGTCTTTTGGGGCTTTGCAAATAATGCATTTGTACAAATAAATAAAAGGAGTTTCTTTTGTCTTTTTGCAAATAATATACTTTTATAAATAAATAAAAGGAGTTTCTCTTGTCTTTTTGCAAATAATATACTTTTATAAATAAATAAAAGGAGTTTCTTTTGGTTTTCTGCAGATAAGTGGGAGTGTGTTCATGAAAAAGGGTTGTTCCGGTTCATTGCAAGTGCATGCATGCATGCATGCATGCAGAAAAGTGGAAAGAAAGGCTTTTTTTTGTTTATTGCAAACGCTGCATGCGTTTGATTTATTATTTTTGTTTATTTGATTTCAAAAAACGCAAATTTCCAGTTTTAAAGCTCTATGTTCGTCACCACCGTCTTCGTTTCCAAGTAAGGCAACAGCCCCTCCTCTCCTCCTTCTCTGAATTCAAACAAAACAAAATAAATCAGAAAAACATTTTAATTCCCTTTATTCAAATAAGACGAAATAAATAAAAAACTACTTTAATTCCTTTTTGAGAAAATAGTGAAAAGATGAAACAGAGAGGGCCGCATTTTGTTTTTTGAAGCGAAAGCGGCTTTTTGTATTCATTTCTTTGCAGAAACAGGAGAATATCATTTCAAAAATTATCATTTAATGCTTCTTTTTGATAATAAGCGCGAAAATATGAATTAGAAAATGGCGGAATTTCGATTTCTTTTCAATTTCCACTTTTCTGCAAACACTTGAACAGCGAGTGACCAGTGGTCCGGGAAAACACAGGAATCGGGAAACCGTGAATAGCTTTGCATATTTTCCTTTCCGATCCATTTTTAATAACTTAATTGAAATAATTAATTTGAAATAAACCATTTAAATTCATTTATTTGAAGAAAAACGGGGAAGAACCGATAGAACTGAAGAATGTGAACACCGGGCACAAGCGCCAGCTCGATTTCAATACTTTGGCCAAGAATAAATGCAAACAAAGAAATAAAAGATAAAATTGAATTAATAAATGAAATATAAATTAAATTTAATTTGAAAATTGAATTTGAGGCAATCAGAACTGAAATTGCGTTAAAATCGCCGACTGCAGAACAATTCAAGTTGACCAAATTCAAGTTCTGCAAAATTCGGGAAACTAAGATGAAAAAGACCAAATTTGGCCCCGATTTCCGCCAATTATAATTAAAATATGAATTTAAAATGGAATTAAATCATTTAAATTCAAAAAATTTGAATTTAAATCGAAAAAAATTGAAAAAATCAAACAAATTCAAGTTCAAATTCAAGTTCAAGTACCTGCCGTAGCCGCTGCCTTTGTAGCCGCCGAAGGGAATGCCCACGTCGCCGCTCAAGTAGGTGTTCACCCACACAGTTCCCGCGTGCAGCCTGCCAAAACACCAAACTAGGCATTAGGGTTTAGGGTTTAGGGTTTAGGGTTTAGGGTTTAGGGTTTAGGGTTTAGGGTTTGTGGCGCAGAGCTTCAGATTCTGGGAGTCAGGAGGCTAGTGAGCGACCAAGAGTCTCAGCAGAGTCTCAGCAGCAGGGGGTTCAAAACGGGGGATAAAACCCAAGGGTTTAGGGTTTAGGGTTTAGGGTTTAGGGTTTAGGGTTTAGGGTTTACCGGCTAACGAAGTGGTCTGCAAGAGCAATGCTAGAAGTGAAGACTCCAGCGCCAAGTCCGTACGGAGTGTCGTTTGCTCTTTCGATCTGAAAAGATGAAAAGCTGAAATTTAATTTAATTTCTTTTTTTTTTAAATTTCAAAAACAATTCCAATTTCAAATATTTATTCACCACTTTTTCCCCCTTTATTGATGTATTCCGATCACTTTTCGTGTCTTTTCCCCAGCTCCAGGGTTTAGGGTTTAGGGTTTAGGGTTTAGGGTTTAGGGTTTAGGGTTTAGGCGCACCGCCTCCTCAATTGTTTCAAACTTCGAAACGCAAACAACAGCCCCGCTCTAGGGTTTAGGGTTTAGGGTTTAGGGTTTTCCCAAATCCCAAATCCCAAATCCGCGTGGGCCTCCTCAATTGTTTCAAACTTCGAAACGCAAACGACAGGCCCGCTCTAGGGTTTAGGGTTTAGGGTTTAGGGTTTAGGGTTTAGGGTTTAGGGTTTCGGCGCACCGCCTCCTCAATTGTTTCAAACTTCGAAACGCAAACGACAGGCCCGCTCTAGG